GAGAAGGAGGAAGACAAAATACAGGTGCCAGTAGACAATTCTTTACCTTCTGACTAAAGGACAGGTTGTTTTCTACCATCCCAGAAGTTGTCCTGGTGTAAATATGCAGAGCACACTCACACACAAAAGAAAGACTGCTTTAATGAAGTCTAATAAATAATCTCTGAGACATCTTAGTGAAAACTGTTAACTATTTGGAACAAGAACATGCTGCCTCTCACAATCGGCAGTCACTGTACAGCACAATGAGATTTTATCGGCCAGCATTATGTTTGCTTGTTTGACTCTGATTTTAGTTGAGAGAGACATTGTATATGTCTCTGTGGTTGCTAGCAAATATACACAGTTTCTAAATCATTTTGTGATAAGGGCTGTGGAGAATGCCTTGCAGGAGCCAAAGAAAACATTACATAAATAGCCTCCAAATTGTTGCACGAAATTAAAGTACTCAAAGATAGAAGTCTTACTTGATTTCTGCATGTAAAAAGTCTATTAGTTCTTCATTCAGAAAGCAATTTTTTATCCAGAGAGTCCTTGCACTCTAAAGGCTGGCTGTATTTCCAAGCTAAGTTCCCCTATGTTCTACAGCCTTAGAACTTGGGGCCAAAGGTAGTCTAAACCAGTGTGACTGCAGTTATGTCAATTAGGTAGGCTGACCTACGTCCTGAAATCTGGCTGAAAAGCTGGTTCTTAGCATTTAGGGCAGAAGCAGGAAAACATATTTCATAGCTGCTGAAAGCTGCTAAATACCTGCTTTTAATAGGACTAATTTAAAACAACAAACATTTCTTTGGATTGTGCATTTCTTTCAGTGGCCCAATTAATGGGGCTGAGTAATGAATGGAGGCACCACTGGATTGCATTTACACTGCGGTACTGTGTTAGCAACCTTTTGGTCCTGCTCAGGAGGCTGTAAAATGCTTTGTTCCTCACAGCATAAACACTATTATACTACTATTAGGGTTGGATTTACTTACCATTAAGCAAATGTAAATACTCCTGCATTTGGCACTGCCCCAATAACAGAGAGGAGCTGAGGAATGCTACTACAACATGCAGCCGGAGGTTTCTGGGGGGACTTTTCTGAATTGTTCCAAATTCACTATTCTGGGGGTGTGGGCTTGGACTCGCACAGAGAAGAATTGAAATGTCCTAATGCTGGATGGTGCAGTGGAGATGGGCCTTAGTCATGCTTCTAAACTGTGTTCAAATGCTAAATGTGTTGAAGGCTTTAGTACAGTTTGGGAACAGGTTTCTTGAAGAAATTCCTGGTATTTCCTGGTTCCAGGCAGGCTGAAAAACATTGTGAGAATGTGGTGGCTTTTGGTATGTCCATTTATGGGCATGAATCAAAGGAACTGCAGGGAGGAAAAAAAGTGGAAAATGAGAGGAAAAATAAGTTAACTGAGCTACTTCCTCTCTCGGATTCTTCTTGGGTTTTGGGCAAAGCCTTGCACTGGTATTTCATCCCAATTTCCTGCTAACTACTTCCATATGCAGGCATAGTATAGCATCAGTTAAAGCCACATTTAAGCCCTGTTTTTAAAGAACTTAGGTTTTTGGTGGTAGGATGCAAAGTCAGAATGGTTGAATTATTACATGTTTAGGTAAGAACATTACCAACCCTTCTTGCATTTAATGTCCTTGTCAGTGCAATGGTACGAGTACTTTCTGCAAGTGCGATGTCTGAAAAAGCCGTGCTACATGAAAAAAAAAAATCAAAAGATCTAGTTAAGAGTATGCTATTTCTAGTGATGTCCAAAAGTTGGTTTTCTTAGCTGAGCCCCCGTCTTCATGAGACAAACAACTGGATACTGTTCAAAGACTTATTCGTTCCTCTGTGGTTACGGATCATTAAAAGTGGCTCATTCTTGAAGACTTTCTTAACTAGTGTCTTTTGGATGTTTCTTAGCTCTGAGGAATCTGACAAATTTCCATCTGGAGAGCAGAGCCTATTTCATATAAAAGGGCTATAATCCGTGTCTGTTGTTCACATCTGTATTGTGTTAGAAAGCTAAGCTGCAAATCCATGCAAAAGTGTTATGGTACAAAAATCTGAAATACAATGGTTTAGAGTTATTTCACAAATTATTTGATACTCTGATCTCCAGACACCTTGAATTCCTGTTTAGTGATTAATTGAATATCATGTATTAAATGATTACTGACTTTACAGTGGTCCTTTACCAACCGCATCATTAGTATTGCTGAAGATCCATTTTAAGGAGATAATAATTTGAATTAATATGCTTTCATATATTAATAAATTGCTTTAAAAGTACAGTAGCAAACTGCACAACAGGATTTTCTGAGGATGCAAGTATCCAAAAGCAAAATTCCAAAAGAAGGTAATTTGGAAGCAATGTGAACCAATGTTCTCTCCCATGTAAGTGACTTTGGACTGTCGAACCCAAGTATTTATTCTCGCATCTATGCATCTGAGGCACAAAGAATGAAATCAGGAAATATCTTTACAGATGAAAGGCTCACATTTCAACCATCATTTAAGATGCCATAAATTTCCCTCAAGGGCTCCTTATTCCCAGGGTACCTTTGAAAGAAAGTCTTACAAACAGTACAATGCCTACTTACACCTCTAGGAGAACTTAACAACAAAGTATTTAAATTTCTTTACCTTCAGAAGTCTAACACCTGAGAAGTGGTGTAAAATGCATGCTTCTGTCAGAAGAATACATGTGTTCCTGGGGGAAAAAACAATGAGTGCAAATCATTATAATGCAGCGATAGCTGAGATTTATGATCCTTCAAATGATCAGGGGAGAGCAACAACTTGCTAAACTGATTTGCATATGCAGCTTACTTCCTTATTTTAATTCACAGTGGTAACAGCAAACCACCATTGAAGCATTCTGACAGGAGGCCTCTTCTGTCCCTCTCCGCTAGCCTGTGAAGCAGTGTGATAATTTGTGAGATGGCAGGCAAAGCAGCTGCATCACTGCATTACCAGGCAGAGGGTAGGTCGTGGTCCCAACCTGTAGTGGGGGAGCCCCTTTGTGGGTGTCTAATTACAGATGGCCCTTCCTAAACCAGACTATTGCTACTACTCCCTGGCCCTGCAGCCTTGTATGACAGGAATAGCTGCTGGACAGTGCCAAGGGAGGCCACAGCCCTGTGCAGCTTAGGTTATCCCAGATACAGTCCATGCCGCAGGGGACCGGGAGCAGAAACTGAGTGAATCTCATAAGCCAGTCATGAAGCTCAAGATGTTGATGTTATAAGGATAAGGAATGGTCACTCATTATAATGTCTGATATAAATTTGTAAAAGAATGCAGGGCAGATCTGTTAATAAATGGGCTTGAGCAGCACCACAAACACCCCGTCTCTTAAGGACATTAATTCCAACCTGCTAGGTATATCGTGCTTCTTTCTGTTCTTCTGATCCTAAGGGCTTCTACAGTGATGGCTGTGAATGGAGTCCATGTACATCCTGTCCTTACTGGAACTAGAAATTACAGTTTTCTTGTTATTTGGGGGTGGAGCCATGGTAGCGGTTGGAAACCAGTCCTTGGGGATGTAGGAGTGTTTGAAGTGTTGCCAGGATGAACTGAATGGCCGCATCGTATTCATAACCTGAAAGAAAAAAACACCCAAACAAAAAAACAGAATAGAGAAAAATGTTGGAGAGTCTCAAGGAGTGTAAGAGCCAAAGGTTACCCAAAACTATTATTTCATATGGAACACAGAAAGCCACTTCCTCATGCCAGGAGAATTCCTCATGTGATTTAGAGGAAGGGGAAATGCTTCTATGGCCTTGTGCAAAGCCTGGTAAGGCCACTGGCAAGGGTCCCATTGACTTCCCATTAGTTTAGGGCTCTGTTGTCCATCATTAGTCAAAGGTAGTGTTACGCTGACTTGCTGCTAATGCTAGCTGAAATCAATGGGATTGGAAGGTATTCAGGAAGGATTTCTTTCACCACCAGGAAATTCCAGATTGAACTTGTTTGGCTGAAAAGGATTCTTGTTGGAGAGTTCTTGTTTTTTTTGAAAACAAGAACTAATGCTTCTAGTGCAAAGGTTAATTTTAAATTCAAAGAATTCCCTTGTCTTGATAAAGGGACCAAAAAAAAAAGTCTTGTTATTAATGTAGGACTTAGCACAGGACTGAAGCTTTCCTTTTAGCTTTAGGGGAATGAGGTGACTCACAACTGTCCTTATACTGTTTTTTGCGTATCTGAGAAGAATGTTTGGACCATTATCAAAATGTGTAGCTGTCACAACACTTCTTATCTGTGTGCCTGGAAGAGTTTGAATCGATGGATGCTTTACAAAGAACTGTCATGTACAGTGGTTTGTTCCTAGTGACCAAGTAGGAAGGTAACTCAGGTATTTGCCACCTGAGTTCAGTGCTCTGTCTACTATACTACACTAAAGTTTTACCTCAAGTAAAACTACATCTAAGTTATCCCTACTCTGCATGAAGATCATAAAAGGCCCTTTCCAACCTGTGTTATTCTGTAATTTTTATGATACAAGTCATTAGCTCTTCACTGAGAATTTTACCAGATTTTGGGCTTCTGGATTTGACTCTATAGAGTCAGCAGCCACTTCACTGCAGATACTTTAAAAATGTTTTTCTCACTTTAGTTGAAAACAAATTTTAAGCAGTGCAACATGTCAATGAAATTAAGCATGTTGTATGGTGTGTTACAGCAGGAGCTGAATGCTATGGTGACCAGCTGACTCATTTTGAAGTCACCACATGTGATGCATTTGGAAATTGCTGCACTTTCTAATGCAACACTGGGCTTGGCAAAGCAATCCTGGCCCTGCCCTCCATTCAGAAGGGTAGCAAACTACAGTTGGTTCACTAGTAACACAGTAAGTAACCATAAATCATTAGCTTAGGGGTAAGTGTATGTGCTCCTTGACAAAAACCCCCACCATGGACTACCTGATTTTCGTTTAGTGCAAAGCCAAACCGTTTTAGGAATATGTAAAATAGTAGTGAACACTAAAGGTAAATGAAATACCAAGCCATTTATATAAAAAATATAAATACTTTATTTTCAACTAAAAAGGTGCAAACATGTAACTTTTGGTCACACTTCTCAACAAATGAACTGTCCAAAAAGAGCCATTGTCAAAGAAAGAAACAAATGCTCGAGTGGAAAGACTGATGAGCTACAGCAGAGCCTTTTTTCTTAAAGCCACTTGTCCAATAAAGTGGAAGTAAATATATTTTGCCAGATGACTGCTTTGTAAGGATACAGGCACCTCAACTCTAACAATCTCCATCTTGTTCTCAACTCACCATTTGGCCCTATCTGAACAATTTCCACTAGAGTATGTATTTCAAGCTTTGAATGCATTGTCAAAACAAGCTTTAAATCCTACCTATCTTGTTCCAGAAAAGAAGGCTACCATTGAAATTTCAAAGCATTAAACAAAGGCACAAAACTTTAAATTAATTTAGATAACTGTACAAATATATATACACACAGTATTTACAATATTAATAAAGAGTAGCTTGTTACAGGTAAACTAACTGCCACAAGCTGTCCAGTCTAATAGACATGATTCTGATTCTTGTTGACCAAGCCATATGAATCAGAGCGTCAGAGCTGAAACTTTACTGTCCTGACTAACAGAACACCTTCTACTTAGCACTTTGCTGGGTGAGAGTTTTCATTCCAGCTGTTGCTGTTACTAACCCAGCACCAGCAAACATGCTAACAGTCTCCTCAATTGCACTACTAGATGAAGCACGCTGTACCACATTAAGGGAACATTTGCTTGAATCTGCTTTTCCTGCCTATTTCCCTTAACCCCTTCACACCACCTCATGAACAATGTGTTCTGAAGCTGTGTCTTGCTGTGGTCCCACTGTCCATCCGTTTCACCTTCTTCTTCAAACCATCATTTGGGGTCAGTAGAAAAATTGTCTTAAGTCACATGGAGCAGTTTGTTGAAATAAAAAAAAAAAAAAAGAACTGATTTAAATACCTTGTGCTATTGAATCATGTTTACAAAATGAGATGCAGATCAGTTCAAGTCGAGAATCTAGTTAGCTTCTCCTTCTGGCTTTATGCCATGTCTCCATACATCTTCCTGTAGTACAGAGACTCAAAGATGTCATTGTCTCCAGGGCAGTTGTAGTGGCATGCACAGGTCTTGATGAACATCATTTTCCTTTTCATGATCTCCCCATCAGGGCACTTGAACTCCACGGGGAGGGTGGCGGTTCTGTGGGGTGTGCAGCAGCGCCCGTCAGTGCAGACACCACAGAACTTAGCTCTGTAGGTCTTCACACTGGTGCAGCCAGACAGCTCAAACTTGATGGGCTTGGAGATTTTGGGGGTGCGAATGCACTTTTTGCCTTTCTGTTAGGATATAAGTGAATACAAAATGTTTACAAGGCAGGCTCTCACACAGCACTAAGCTTGCAAGCTAATGGCAGCAGTCATACTCATCCTTTTATCTTCACTAGGCAAGAGTGTCTTAGTACCATAACACAGCATGAAAGGAAAATTTGGGACATTTAATTGTAAACTATTTACCACTGGGATAAAACTCACATTTCAAGATAAACTACTTGAAACTAACTACCTGTCAGAACTACACAGTTTTTGGTAAGACACTGTTTTTTAGTTAGAAGATGGAAGCATCCCTGTAGATCATACATAATGATCAGACTATTTACCTTGATGTTCTCCTCCAGGTCTGCTTCGCAAGGTCTGACCATGCAGAGTCTACTCTGCTTCTCCAGTCTGCAGAAGGCATTATCATTGGTGACCCTGGTTGAGATGCCCATACCGCAGGTCTTGGAGCAAGCACTCCACTCCGTGGTCTGCACCAGACAGTTGGCACGCATCATTGTTGGGTCTGGACCATAAGTGTCTTCCAGTCTGTAAGCTGCAGGAGACAGATAACCAAGATGAGACCATCATCTGACCTCATGCCCTACTAAAGATTCTCTTCCCCTTCCTAGGAAATTTAGGCAGCGACAGCTACTGCAGCACTCTAGCTGCCAGAGTGCTCTGTGTCAACCCATCCCACTGTCTTCAACCTCCATGCAACGTACCCCTTCCCCCCAGGCTGCCATGTGCTGAGGGACCCCTGCTCACCAGCAAGCGCAGGTCCCACGGCAGTCTGCTCTTTGGTCTCATCACAGACCCACTCCTCGCAGCACTTTCCAGGGAGCTTCACCCGGCGCGGGTAGGGGCAGTCAGGGCTGGGCAGGCGGACGTCCATGCTGCAGAGGGGCACGCAGCCCACCGCCCCGTCCAGGCAGGTGCATTGGTACTTGCAGCTGCTCTGGAAGGACTCTCCGCTCCGGTACACCATACCGCCGAAGACGCACGGAGCGCCGTCCCGAGCTGCGAGGGGCAGGAGGCGGAGGGTGAGGCGAAGAAGTCTCCCCGGCTTCCTCCTTCGCTAGACCCCGGCCCGGCGGGACCCTGTGCCCGTCCCCTCGGCTGGCCCCGTCCCCGCTCACTCACCGGTGCAGACACCGATCCTGCGGTTGGCGGGGGAGCCGAAGTCGCAGAAGAG